GCGTGCCAGCGTGGCCGCACCGGCGGCGGCCAGCTCTCGCGCCCGCTTGGCTGGCCGCGGCGGCGGGGGCGCCTGCTCGCGCGCCCGCGTGGCCGTGGCGGGCATGCTCGCGCGCCTGCGGCAGCGGCGCCTGCGCGGCCACCACGTGTTTGACGAGACGAAGGGTGTTGCTTCGTATGGATTAGCAGGCCACGTCAGCGTGTCCACGTCAAGGATATGGACCTAAGTACGTATAAAGTTTATGACCTAAAAGATCACTTTAAAAGTTGATGGATCTAATTAAAATTTTAAAGCTCCGGTGCATTTAACTCTATAATATTTATCTAAGTGCATAACAAAAATTAATTTCAAAATAGCCAAATTTGATTTCAAGAATCTGGATTTTGAATAATAAAAATCTTACGTGTTTGGATCTTTGGATTCTACCTATAGATTATAGGTATTTCAAAACATCTTTCTCCAAATACACTCAGCCTCGCATCTCCTCATGTTTAATGTCTAGACCTGTCTTTGAGAAGAGGAAGAATCCAGAAAAAGATGGGGACTGATAGATTATGGGCTCATCCCTTCTGGAATCTCCACCGTTTGGACATATTGCAGATTTTTTTACCTGATTTTTAAAATCTCAAATGGTATTCAAACTGACCGCAAATGTGTGTGCAGAATAATCTGATTTCTCACACCTGGATGTACTACCTCCGTCAACAAGAAAATGTAATTCCTAAATTTCGAGAAGACAAACAGTTTAAACTTTGACTTAAATTATACTATAAAAAAGCGCTAATACTCATGAGACACACATAAGTATCATTAAATTAGTTATAAAATATATTTTTTAATAAATTTATACAGAAACATAGATACTAATATTATTTACTATAAATTTAGTTACACTTAAACTAATTTGACCGATACGATTTCTATAATTGTATTCTTTCGTGGAGTATTTCAGTCCAGACCTCAAATGATAGCAACGTACAACCTATAGTGCCACTGCTGCCACGAGGGAAATTAAAAACAGTGACAAATTATGGACCGGACATGCATATATCAAAGGCTACAGCCTACAGGACATGTGGAGCGCCGGCGAATTGGCATGCTGCACGTCTGTCGGCCACGAACACCTGGTGAAGTCCCTGAACGTACACACGTCCGTGCGTCGCGCTTGTTGGCCTTAAGCTGTTGTCGAGACGAGGCTGGTGAGGAATCGACGTCGACCAATCTTCGTCCTTTTTATCGGTTTATAAGTTGTATTTTTTAATTAATGAATAGTATTTTTTTTTCAAATAAATCAGTCCACAGTACTCTCAACCATGACTTATCAGCCAAACGAACAGGTACTAGGCGTCCAGTCCATGTCCAAAAAGACAGGCAAATTCACGGGAAACATGTCGTGGCCGGAGGAGGAGAAAATCGCCGGTTCGCCCCAGACAGGGGCGGGCAAACGCGCGTGGGCGTACGTGTGGCCGCTCGCAGTCTCGCGTCGCGCTCGCGCACGGCGCACATGCTTTGCCGCTTGCGCTGCTTCATACGTGGACCAAGAGAGGGTACATAGCATAGGCCCCAGGAGGCTGAAGCTGGGTCCAAGTCCAATAACTGTGGATCAATGTGCTTGCAGGCACAGAACGGGCCATGTTTGGTTTTTGGTACCTCCTTCCTTGCAGAACGGTCCGAGGCTAAATACTGCGATTGATTTGGTGAGAGCAGCATGAACACGCGACCGACTCGCTCCTTTGCAAATCAACGGACGACTCCATGCCGGACGAGCTGACGTACAATGCAAATATGTTTATATGGGCACTTAAAGAAACTTCATTATTAGGCATATGTATAAGAGTCCTAGCCTACAATGGAATCAACCATTTTACTGATGCTTAAGGGCATGTTCGGCTGGTATTAAAGCCGACTTTGGCTGATTTGTTGTCTGAGAAAAAATACTGTAGACTATAGCTGATAAGCCGGCTGATAAGTTCAAATGAACAGGCCCTAAATGTTTTGATAATTATAGGAGCCTATTTGAGCGTTTATCTTATCTTTGCAATGCGTGCGTGATCTATTTAGACTAATATTTTTTTAGAATTATACAGTATAACACATACGTCTGAAAGAATAACGCCGTTAAATCTTAGAAAAATCCAGAAAAATACAAGCACCCGTGCTAAGTCGATGAACTTGAACTTAGATGGATATGTTTCACCGTAAGAAACCTAACCAATTGATATATGACCAATTCGCTATTTAGAATAATATTTAACTAGCCTTCAAGCGCCGGCTCCTGATTTTACGAGATGAACGTTCCAAGCGCCGGCTGCCTGGTCTAGCGCCTTTTTGACATGCAAAGGCCTCTCATGCTTCCACGGTGTCAAGAAAATTTGTTAACTGACACTTAGCGCCACCTAAGCGCTCCGCGATGTACGTGGCCTTAATAGTCCGGCTCTACACAGATGCTTAAATATCAAAGAGACGAGAGTGGATGGTAATGTGTGAATGAACTGAAACAAATCTTATGCCTGAATTGCCATCAGATTGGCCAGCCGGTCCTGGAACCCCATGAATTTTCCACGATTCGACCTTCGGTCACCGCGTCGCCAAACAAGCGGATCAAAGTGGACAAGACCTGAACGCACCGGAACTACTGTATGAATCGGCAATCCCTGAACAAAGTTGACGACTGGGTTTAGTTTATCCAGGCCTCATGGCACATATTCTCATTTATGTGCAGCCATGGCAACAAATTTTGCTTCTCCCTACTGAAGAAACTACGCTGGACATTATTACCAGAATAGAGCATCATGGTGCACGGTTAGGCGCTGTTCGTTTCGCTGAAAAGATAGGTTGAAAAGTATTGTTTGCTATTTTATTGTGAGAAAAAAACGATGTACCATGACTGATAAGCCAGGCTAATAAGTTAAGCGAACAGGTTGAGCGAACACCGGTATTGCTCTCTGCTCGTCGTGCTGCCGTCGTCACGCTCGTGAAGCCCAACTTGCTTCACCCTATTGATTCGTGAACCTTAGGGCACCACCATCGGAGGCAGCACATGCTGTTGGCCTTGGGCTAAAAGGATGAGTACACGTAGATAGCTGGCTCTCTAGCTAACACACTCCCATCGGAGGTAGCTCTGTTTTTTTTCCTGCACCGTCACATCATGTCTCTTGTGTAGGTCACTTTTTCTCCCCTTGACCACACTCTCTACTCATCTCCCGTATAGCTCATCTTTTGTAGTAACTTCATCTTTTATAGGCTACTCTGACAAAACCACTTTTAGGTGAGCTTGTTTAGTTGGATCCCAAAATCCAAAAGTTCTACTACTCTGCACATCGAATGTTTGCGGCCTGTAAGGCTATAAGTCTTTTTAGGTGAATGTTTGGCGCCTACGTAGAATGTGGAGCAGCACGCCACTTCCTTGTGTTGGGAAGCCCTTAGCTTGATACTGTTCTATTTGTGGGAAATGGGAATAGAAGCAAGCTGTGGTCAGAGCACGAGATCCAGGAGGCCGTCCTTTTCCCCGTGAAGGACTGGACTGAAGGCTGGCACCTGGCAGCTCGGCGCATCACTTCACGTCGTGTTCGCTTGGCTTATAAATCGTGTTTTTTCAGCTAACGAATAATATTTTTCTCACACAACAAATCAATCCATAGTATTTTTAGCCATAACTTATCAGCTAAGCGAACAGGACATTATTTCACTCGGACCGGTCGGCTCAGCAGCTTTTGCTTTTCAACTGACAGGATCGCTCACTCCTGAATTTTTTTTAGAAAAACAAATACTCCTATTTTTAATTATAAGATGTTTTATATTATTAGATACATTATTTTGTCATACATTTAGATATACGTTATGTCTAGATACAAAGCTAAAGAAATGTATCTAGAAAAGCTAAAGGAGTAATATTTTAGTGGTAGCACGAATTCCAAACTAAAATTTCATAAAATATGCCTTTGGTTAGATGGGCATTTTTGAATGGGAAATGGCTATCCATCGGTAAATGTTGTTTGGTTTATGGACAAGTTGATATGGATATCCCTTAAAGAGAAATATTCTCTCAAATCATGGATATCATTGCCACAAAAAAAGCTAGGAGAGCTCATCCATACTTTTAATATTTATTTATCATTGGTAAAAAAATAAATATTATTAGTACATCAATTATTACTTAGTAATTATGATGACAAGATTAATTTCGTTAAGTGCTAATATGTTGCTTAGGGTACATTTTGTGTGCCAATTAGGGTAGTTTAGTGCTAATAAATATATTTTATTTTTAATTACTGATTATCATGATTATATTAGCGTTCATGCATATTACTAAGTAATTGATTATTGTTATTTTAAATAATATATACAATTAGTCAATTATTCTCATCCGCCGAGCACAACCGAAGGCCCGAAGCCGAAGTGGCACCAACAGCAGATGAGATCTTTTTTTTTAGGAAAACAGCAAAGGAGATGGAAAGTGGCCCCTGCCGAAATGGGCCTCCACGTTGTTGGAGAAAAGAAATTGGCCCGATACTGAACGAGCTGGAACGTTACTCAATTTCGGGCCTTCCCTGCCTGCCTCTTCCACTTTTTTTTAGGAGGAAGGAGAAAAGGACCCGGACCACGCACCACGGTCCTCACCGAGCACAGGTAGGGTTTCGGCCACCGCAGCCATGGCCGACGCCGCGCCGTCCATCCGGGCGCCATCGCTTCCCTCCAGGCCTACTCCACGGCCCTCTCCGCCTTCACCGCCGCATGGCGTGCCGTCGAGACCCACGCCTCCAGCCTTGACTGCACCCTCGCCGCCCGCTTAGCCGGCTTCTCCGAGCTCGAGCTGATCTGCTCGGCGATGGACGGCGCCGGCCTCCTCGCGTACCTCGCCGATCACAGGGACGAGCTCAAGGAGCCCGCGCGCGCCCGACCCGGGGCTTCTGGTCCTCTCTGCGGCCGCGACTTTCTGCCGCACGCCGCCGGAGGAGGCCAAGAACGACGGTAGCGTCAAGGCGTCCTGCCGCCTGCTCATGGCCTTGCTCGACCGGCTGCGCGCGATTGGGTTCAAGCCGTCGCCTGAGGCACGCGAGGAGGCCAGAGCTGTCGTGGCGGACTGGAAGCGAGGCAAGCGGATCGGGACGGAGGTGATGTTTAAGCAGGAGACGTTCGCCTTCTTGCATCTCGTGGGAGTGTTTGGGCTCGTGGAGGATATGGGCGGTACCGGCGAGGTGCTTGATCTAGTCGTGTCCATCTCTGGTCGTGAGCGCCCCGTTGAGGCGTTCGTCGTCCTTGGCCTGGACCTCGACCAGCGTATGCCAAGTAAGCCACATTTCACTTAGTTTACAACAATCCTAGAATTGAGTAACTTGTTAGGCATATGGACCATGTGAAGTAACTTGTTCCTTTATATTTCTATGCCAATTTCTGTTTTTTCTTTACAGAAAATATAATATTCTAGAATTGAGTCAAATCAAAACTTGGCACTGTATAAGATTGCATCTAAATCAAACAAATTGACATCATAGGGTATAAAAGTTCGATTAAGTAGCGGTGTAATAATGTCTAGCGTAGCATTGTTCAAAGGATAAATGTATGCTTTCATACAAATCATATAGAATTGTTGCATGGATAACTGAGTGCTGACAGAAGGTCACCAAATATCCTAACCATTGGGTGGACCATTATACATATTGACCAATAGGCTGAACAGGGTAATCATGCCCGAACAGGGTAATCATGGAGTACATTCAAAATTGAACTAGCTGGAACGAGGAGGGGAAAGGAAGGGTTGAGCAGGGATGAGTGGCAGGACCTCATGGTACTAGCTGGCCGTATCAGCAGCAGGAAAAGGAAGTTCTATCTGTGTGATGGTTCATGTAAGATTCTAATTTCTTGGTCCTGTAGGATGACTAGTCACAAGAAGAAGAGATCCCTTACCTACTCTTACAGCAGACCAGCACACTATTGCAGGAAACTCTCTCTGCTTCCTGCTGCCACCCTAGACCTTTCCTTATATCTCCTACCTCATTGTGTGCTGCTTACCTCTCCCTCCCTGAAGACACTGGTGAACCAGACCTTTAGGTTCTTGTACAAGGACGGTGTGTGGAAATTTGCAAAAATGGGCTCAATTGCTACATTGTGTGCAGTATCCTGTATAAATGATCTGTTATAGACTGGAATCATGGCTCTTGGTAATCAATGTAGAGAGTAATTGGACAAATGAATTTAGTACATGCAAAACTTCTCTCTTTCTTTTGTCGCAAAAAAAAAAAAAAAAAAAAAAAAAAAAACTCTTTCTTGGACAAAGAGGATGGTGGTAAATGTCTTGTTTAACCAGACGAGTGTTTCTCATGATGCATATGACATATGAGTGATAGGTTAAGGGATGAATTCTGTGTGTTGACCTTGTGAGGGTGCTATTGCTTAAAAATGGTCAACTCATTTGTCAGGATGGTTAGCGTCCTTTAGTTAACACTCAATTATCCATTGAATAACTCTGTATAATTCCTAATTTATCACTCATTCATGCTTCAATCAATTCAATATCAGATTTCATTTCACTTGCTTATTATTCTGAGTTGTTATTCCTATATGCAAATTTGCCTCATTCAGGTGCAGATGTACTTTCCTGTTCTATCACATTCAACTCGACTTGGCCTTGAGATATTTGTTAAATGAAAATCAGACATTGGCATACAAATAAAGGGAAAATAAAAAATTGTTACAATCACGGTATCAGGATCTGTTTGCTTGGAACCTTTTCTTTCATGGTTGGGAGCTCAGCTGCCAGACGCTGTTAGGCCTGCTTCGTAGCTCTGATGTCGTTATCTTATAAATATGTTCTACAATTTTGTGACTTCTGTTTTTGTTTTCTTCCGGGCTGAGCCCTGGTGCTCAGTGTGGATGACAAGGGATGGGTTTCGTTGTATAAATTTTGAAGTACTTGAAACTCTTGTAATTTTGTTGCTTATCAGTAATGAAATTCGGTTCGTCTGTAGTGGAAAAAAAATTGTGTGACTTCTGTAGTTCTGTTATCGAACCACGTAGGAGAGCTGCCTACCTTGTATTGTGGAAGGAAGAGAATAGTTGTACAGAGCCCCTCAGGGAAAAGAAAAGGGGAGGGGCACAAAATTTGCACTTTATTTTCCTTATTATCAGTTAATCATAGCCACCTAGATGCTGCCACTTTTTTTACCAATCACATTTTGTTCTCAAATGTTTGGTTGGTAATCTATTTCCTCACGTGTTCTGTAACTTGTCTTCCCCAGTTCTTTATTGAATCCTTTTGGGACATGGCTGTCTTAACATCGTGTGCTTCTTTATAGCTCTCTCTGTTGTTTCTTCCATCATTTTTCCTCTTTCACAAATTGAATATTTTTTATTTGTAGTTTAGGCTGGTTTTTGGGTGTTTTTTAGGAGGCAGTGAATATCTTCTACTGCCCTGCTTTACATCAAAATGTGTAGGAGTGTTTTTGTAGAATGCCATATAACAAGCTTCATTATAATGTTGTGTTTGTTACTTTTCTCATGTCATGCATTTATTCCCAATATCTATAGTCTATTCTTCAGCCGACCAGGGTCACCTCTGCATCTGCTGTTTAAAAATTCATGGCAATATTTAATGTTCTTATCATTGATAAAAAACTGACATTTATATGAAATAATTTCTTTGCACCAGTCCTCATTCAGAAAATGGTAAACAAAAGCAAACAGCTAGAGGCAGTCAAATCATTCAAGCTCTTAATATAGCGCACAAATACCCTTTGTTGCCTGTTATGAGATCGTACATTGATCATGCTGCAGTTGCTGGTAAGATGATCCGCATCAGGGGAGATGATCTTGCTACTCAAGTGCATCTCTGCTGCAGCATTCTTTATTATAAACATTATACAATCAAGGTTGTAAGGAGTTCTTGATTCCTAAATTATCTTTACACTTTGGCAGAATGCAGCTGATGCAAAAGAGCGCACACTTCTTGGTGGAACATTGCAGAAGTTCATTAAGGAACAGAAGCTAGAAGAACTGCCTATTTTTGAAGAAGCTAACAAGCGAATGGCACATTTGGATCAGCAAAGTGCTGAGAGAAAAAGAACTGCTGCAGCAGCGGCTGCGGCTGCCCAAAAGGTTAGTAAGAACATTGAGGAGCAGCAGAAAAAGATACAGGAGCTGATGCAGCCTGCTAAGAGACCAAGGCCCGAGAATGTGGTGCAAAGTTCTTTAGGCCAGAACGTTAACTCAGCTGGAACCTCTACTCAAACAATTTAAGCCACAGCAGATCATTCTTAAAGTTGGAGTGTCAAATCTGTATCAAGCTGCTTTAACCCAGAATGTACTGCCAGCGATCACAAAGATTTCGCAGGTAGTTGCTGGGAGCCATCGTCCAGTTGGCATCCAAAATCAGGCCCTTGCTGTTCCGCCTCAATTTGGTAGTGGTAGCTTGGCAAATTATTATGGAGTGACATCCACCGGGCCATACAGGTCCAACACTCTAGCTCCTGGACCTGGTGCTTTGAATGGTCCAAGTGCGCAGGCATCATCAAGATCAAAGCTCTATTCTGGAGATCCCCTCGCGGCTGTCTCCTGATCATCAGATAAGAAGGGGTCATCTTACAAATATTCTTTGTCCAGTATGTCCAACTTATGATCATAAATGAAGATTTGTTTTGTCTGCTAGTGGATGAACCTGAGGAACCTTGAAAGTTTGGGTTTCAGACAGAGCTCTGGCCCTTTGTAAATGCCAAGTCATTGTAGCTGACAAAGGTCCTTTTTTTACAATAAAGGAAAATGATGTGGGTTCGTATCTAGAAGAGATTCTCCTAGAGAATCTAATAAATATTGTAGGAATTCTAACATAGATTCGATCCATATGGGCAATTTCTCTTTTATTCAATCTGATCCATATATGCCTTTTCTTGTGGTATACGGGAATGGTTGTTTCAGGCTCTGCAGTTTGCGATTTGAGGTTCTTCCCCTGCACTTGTATGCAGATGAAGTTCATATGTTTTTGCCTGGTTGTTCCCAAGAAAGTCAAGAGTTGGTCCTTCGATTCGCGGAGACTTCATGTAAGCGTCTGATTTTGTTAACAGAATATAGCTTTACATCTCAAATTCTCAGTGTGCCTCTTTCCATTGGCATGTCATTTTGAGCTTGAGGGTGAGTTGTTAGTTCAATTAATTATTATTTCTGTAGTTCTTTCTTTGTTAACAAAATATATTGAAGCACCTATGAATTTTTCTTTATAAAAAATAAACTGTTTATCGCTTATTCCAATTTTAGTTGTGCTATTTATCTGTTAACTCAAGTAGATTGTATCTAATTTCTCACCGTTGGATTCGTTTAGAGATTTTTGCCACCTCCTACGAGTTCTTGTCAACTGAACTGACAGCCAAATTCAGTACACTCGGTTTGGTTTAGGGGGTTATGCCAGGATGTCAAGGCAACGGGGGTCGTGTGCTTTGGTCGGGTTAGCGAGGGAACGGTCATTGGTAGATTTCGAGGATAAAATCTGTCATAAGATAGGTAGGATTTGCGTTTAGTTTTTGAAAGTAGAACCCAATTAACCCCGAATGCACAAACAACTTACAACCAAATCTGAACTCTGAAGCCTAGAAAAGTATATATTGTAAATGACTCGATGCTAGGCGTCAGTGGCAGTTCAATGTTCCATGTGGGTATACACCCTCACCTCCTAATGGTTTTTGCGTCAGTTGCAGTTCGATCTTCCATGTGGGTATACACCCTCAGCTCCTAATGGCCTTTACCGTCCACTTAGTGTGCCCCTGATGACCTTGATCATCCGTCGTGCCTCCTCCAAGGCTCTTAGGATCCGTTTTTTTTTTTCCTCACTGTTATTGTATCATAGTAGTATTGGGATCACATTGAAAAACAAACGAATAAAAAAAATCTGAAAAATAAAAATACGATTTTAACTCCTGCCGACTTGTTAAACTTTGCTTAGATATAAAATATTTGCAAAATCTGTTGTAAAGATTTTTAAAATGTTTCCCAAATATTCGATGTCAAAATAGATGTTAAAATCACAAGGTGGGAAAACTACTCTTTTTTTACATGAATGAACTACTGACTCCTCTAAATAGAATAGGGGTAAATCTGCATGTTTTAAAAAAGATAAGGAAAAAATCACAAAACTAAATAAATAAGGACAAATCATAATTAAACTTCGAGACAACAGTAGGAGGACAAGAGCCCCTAAAAAATCATAGGCGAAGACAATACAAAACAATATAAGGTCCTATTTTGATCCCATGATTTAAAGTTTAGCCACTAAACTTTAGACGACTATTTCAATTTCAACTCTTGAAGCTCCAAATAGGAGGTCTAAAGTGTTGTCTAAAGCTTAGCTATTCTCACATTATTTTAGACCATATAAGTGAGCTAAAATAATCTAAAATTTTAGCTCTTAATTTTATAGTTAACTAAACTTTAGACCCTCGGGCCCAAACTTTGTAGCTCAGCACTTTTTCATCTAAAGCTTTGGTGCACAAACCACACATACCATAGTATTAATTTATTTCGACACCAGCATAGCTTGACAGTGATGAAAAGTGCGAAGGAGACGCTAAAACATTTGACCTTACAAATCAATCTGAACAAAAGTAGTTACCACATACTACTAGCTTAATTTTTTTAGATAATAAAACAACATTCCAGCCTCTATCATCCGAAAATGGTACTCAGCTAATAGTCACAATACAAACCAAAGCTTGGACAGGGAACACAGAACCTTGAAAAGTGCAACATAGACGCTAAAAACATTTGACCTTACAAATCAATCCGAACAAAAGTAGTTACCACACACTACTAGCTTAATTGGACGGGGAACACATAACCCATGGTAGCTAAGCTAGTACCAGACATCACAAAAGCATGGGCCTGGCTCGCCTAGCGTGATACGTACACACAACCCTACAGACAGTGCAGACGAGCACGTACACACATAATGACAGACAAACGCCGTCCGCTTTGCGGCACGGCCTGGGATGGGACATCCTTCCCCTTGGACAGTTCATGTTGGGCTACATGACAATGACATGCTTCTAAGACAACTACAGAACATCATCTCGATCTCGGCTAGTAAAGCCTGGTTGCCTCTTGCCTGTGAATCAGCTTCCTGACGACCGCCATCACCCCGCGAGCGTGCATCTCGCGGTGGACCGCCGTCGGAAGCTTCTCGATCCGCCGCGCCAGCTCCCTCGCCTGCGCTGGCATGTGCTGCATTGCACACATGTAGACCAAATTAACAGCAGTCCAGTCGTCGTCAGATAATGAGATAACGATCTAACGCCAAGTTTATGTATCAAATCAAAAGTTCAGAACCAAAGTAATTAACGGGACAGCAACGACGACGACTTACGTTATTGGCCACGACGAGCAGCTTGCTGACGACGTAGTTGGAGAAGCCGCCCCGCACGAGCCCGGCGAGGTCGTCATCGCCCAGGGCGAGGAACGCGGTGAGCACGACCTGCAGCGGCGCCAGCGAGCGCATCTGGAGGAAGCACGACTCCACCACGTAGCTCCCGAACTGGTCCGACGACAGGCTCACCACGTCCGCCGCGACGCGCTCGGCGATGGCCACCTGGAGACGCTCGCCGCCGCACTCGATGACTCGCTGCAAGAAATAGTTGCTGCATGCGCGCCCCAGCGCATACATGTTTTTTTTTTGTTAGTTGCATTCACGTAGTACGCGCGACGATCTTGGGAAAGAACGGAGCTTAATTAATAGATAGATCACCGGACGTAGTACCCGTATTGGCCGGTGGCGAGCACGGCGGTGTAGTCCAGGATGATCCTCTCGAGAGGCTCAACCTCCTTGTCTCTCGCATACACGAAGCATTGTGACAGGCATCTCGACCCAGAGGACGAGGAGAGCAGCTCGGCATAGTGCACGATGGCGAACCGGATCAGAATCTGACAGAAATCAAGTTAATCAGAAACAAACAAACTCGGTCAATAATGCAAATAACAAGTACAGATTATGACATATGGTGCGAGCCGTACCTTGATATATTCGTAAGGCATCGTGATGAAGCAGTGCTCAAGCAGCTCCGGGCATTTATAGAACAGGGGTTCACGGAGAAGCCACTCGACGATCGGCCTGAGCAGCTGATTATGAGCTAATACCGCTGCCCTGATCAGCTCCTTCAGAGCTGCCAACCTGAGGCACAAATTAAGATTAGTTTGTGTTTGGATTTAGAATTTATTAGTTTCTGTTTAGATCTACTACTACTCCTATGCAGGTGAATTGAACAAACAAATTGATGAATTGATCTTTTCTCTTTCGAATACGATTGTATGCTACGTACCCGTGATTGTGTTGAACGACGCCCGAAAGAAAGCCATTGGTGTGGTACACGGCGATGACAATGTCCTGGAGCTCGTCGTCCCGCCACATGCAGGCGCGAACCAGCGCGAGGAGGACGGCCTGCTTCTGGGCGCTGCTCTCCATGAAGCAGCGCACGTCGCGCTTGAACGTGGCGAGCACGCTCCGGCGCACTTGCTCGTCGCCGTCGTTGAGCAGGCGGGCCACGTGGGCCGAGGCCACCGGGGACGCCAGAAGTTCAGGCTCCATCGGGCGGCGGAGCAGGCGCGAGCGGACCTGCGCCAGCGTCGGGGCCGGGTACCAGTGAGGCGCCGCCGCGGGGACCCACGACCCGTAGCCCGCCGGGTTAGCGAATAGCGTGCTCTGGAAAGCGGGGGCGTACGGGTTGAAGACGGACTCGTGATCGTCCCAGTATGCGGCGAGATTGGGGTCCTCCATGGGCATAGCAGGCTGGAAGAGGTCGGCGCTGGCGCTCAGCGTCGACGACGCGCGCGGGCACGGCACCGATGGGTTGGGCGGGGCGATGGGGTTAGGGTTGGGGTCCAACTGCCCAGCATTGGCGCCTGGTAGCTTTGGCGCGGTGGGCGCGGCGGGGGCGGCGTTGTGGCGCGGGCTGTGCTTGCCGAAGTGCGAGGCGTGGATGCTGCTGGAGGCATAGGGCGGGACGTACCCGACGACCGTGGAGCTCTCGCCCATGCCATAGTTCTGCCCGGCGCCGGCGCCCGTGGAGCTCTCGCCCATGCCATAGCTCTGCAGCCGCGTCTGTGGATGATGGTACTGCTGCGCCGGCGCCGCCGGAAGTTCCAGTTTCCTCAACAAGTCGGCCGCCGTGATCGGCGGGAGCGGGGGTTGGGGTTGCGGCTGAAGATGATGGTACTGCTGCGCCGGCGCCGCCAGAACTTCCAGTTGCCTCATCGTGGTCGGCTGGAGCGGGGGTTGGGGCTGGGGCTGCGGCTGCGGCGAGGAGGGGTCGCCGACGAGCCGCATCTTGCGGAACCTGGCGTTGAGGTCGGCGGCGGCGGCGGCGGGATCGGTCGAGGCGGGGTGCTTGGTGGTGTCCATCGCGAATATTGTTAGAAGTTGGATTATGTGTCGAATCTGCCGTTGAAGATTTTGCGGGCGCCTAGAGTGTATATATACAGGGACTGGGATCTCGCGATCCTGTGCTGTGCAACGCACGAGACGGGCTCGAAATCGGGCCGTGGGACTGGCGGACCTGCTAAACGCCTGCTGGGCTCTCTATAACGCGGACGCGGCGCTCGGGTCGGACTCGATCACCGACTCAGAGAAGAATGGCCCCGGTCGGGTCGCTGAATCTGGGTTGAAAAACACAGTTCTGATTGAAATATTATGAGAGTAAAATATTGTTTTGATTGAAAAAAAAAAGTCGAACAAACTAGATATGGGGTAAGATGAACGGAGCCAATATGCGGCCGATCCAGGCATCCCAGCTCATAGATAGATATAGGAGTATTTTTCTGTTATATAAGAAAGACTAGTAAAAATACCGGTGCGTTGTAACAAAAAAAAAAGCTATCAAATTTTAATAGAAAGCAAGTATGGGGTGTTACATATCTACAGCATGACTTACCTCGTGCACCTCGCTAGTGCCGAATGGTGTGTGTTGTTGGTATAGATGCGGAACCGTCTCCGATAATGTTCGGACTCGTCTTCTCGGTACGACGGTGTTGTCGATGTAGATGTGGAACCGTTATGGATGACGTACGGGCTCGCCTCCTCAATGCGGCGGCATCATTGGCGTAGGGGCCATTGTTGATGTTGCCCGGTGTCCATGGTTGTCCCGACATTGCCCGGCACAGTGACGTTGCCTCCTTATTATTAGGTATAGAAGCGTATATATGCTTTACTCATGGCTGCTGCTTCTATGCGTTTCTATGTAGGCGTAGTCTGGTTCGTTGCCTTAGAATAGTGATACGGAAGTATGGCCGCCGCAAGGTTTGAGGGAAAAAAATTTGTTGAGCTACAGTATCCATGAACAGTACCAGGTGGCAGCAGGGTTCGAACTTTTTTTCGGCTCTTCTTGTTACCGTGACCGGCCAGAGCTCTGGCTTGCATGGCCTGTTCACTTTTTTTTTCTTTCTGTTTTTTCACTATCTTGATCTCATCTGATTAGGCCGTATCTTTAGTCCTTTTTTTTTTCCAAACCGTGGCCGCCAGCTCTAGGTGTTTTTTTACTCGAAAAGAGAAAAATAATTAAAAACAGAAAAAATACAACTAAAAAAGGAAACAAAATAATTCACTACCGGAAACAGTAGAATTGCCGAGTGCCTGAGGGTTTGCCGGGTGCATTCTATCAGACACTCGGCAAACATCCACTCTACCGAGTGTATTTAATTAAACACTCGGCAAACACATAGCACTCGGCAAAAGCAAACTTTGCCGAGTGCCTAATATAAAACACTCGGCAAAATACAAAAAAACTATCGGCAACCACGGACACTCGGCAAAATGGAGTCACATGCGCTGGGCGTGCGGCGGCCATCTGACGGCCGTTGGGTGCGCCGCCCAGCCGTTAGAACTTTGCCGAGTGTCCGTTAGAGACACTCGGCAAAGATAAGGTATGCCGTGTGTTTTTTCTTGACACTCGGCAAATTAATACTTTTGCCGATTGTTTTCTGTTTACACTCGGCAAAGTAATATTTTTGCAGAGTGTTTTTTTAGTGGCACTCGGTAAAATAATAATTTTTTTTCTCTACTGCCCTCCAAACTTTTTCTACTCTCCACATACAACATGTGGTCCTACATGTTAAAATTTGATATATTTCTCCATCTGTTTGCTATATTTAAGTAATTTATTGCATTTAGAAGAATTTTTTGGTTTAAGTCAAATTTGAACTGCAAGTGATACAAATAATGGAATAAATTGAGTGGAGAAATCATATTCATGTTATTGAGTCCATTTTGGGGCCTTACTCGGGAAATGAAAAGAATTTTCGAACATTTTATTCAGGAAACACGTCCACGAACGTGTGGCCGAATGATTTTTAAATTTAAAAAAAGCAAACGAAGTCTGAAAATGATGAGATTTGTCAAGATCTCCTGATATCATACGTGGAGACCGTGAAAAAAAATTGAGAAGGTTTCGCACAATTTGTCACGTATGACCTTTACAAACAGAAGCATCTCCGTACAAGAATCGTAGCGTTTAGAAGGATTCGATAAGATTTGGAGTCAAAGTGATGGTCGAATCGGGGTTTGACTTTAAAACTTTTTGTATAGGTAATAGACAACATAGATTGGTTCACGTCAAATTTTGGTAAATTTTCAGATCTGTTTGATAATTTTAATTTATTAACTGCAATTATATAATTTTAATTGATATATATTGAATTTGAGCTATAACTGCATGAAATAATGGATTAATATTCGTAGAAAAATCAAATATGCATTGTTGAGTGAATTTGACAAGGTATTTTTAAATTACATCGTAACAAATTTAGTAGAACACGCTATGAAGAAGGAGGATGGTGGAGCATGAAATATCGATTTATTTTGCCGAGTGTTTGGTACCTGACACTCGGCGAAAAGAACAGTTGCCGAGTGTCATATAGGGGACACTCGGCAAATCCGTCGACCGGCCCCACTGCCCAGTATTTGGCCGTAATGAAACATTAAAAAAAATAATGCCGAGTGCCCCAGATCTTGGCACTCGGCATACTCCTTCAAAAAAAACCCACCGGTTACCACCCCGGCCCTCACCCTCGCGCACTACACACAACTGCACGCCGCCAACCCCAGCCCCACCGCGCCCCGCTGCACCACGCCCCACCGCGCCCCGCCCCCGGCGCCCCGCGTGCGAAGCTCTCTCGCGTGGCAACGACTGGACGACCGCCGCCCTTCGCCAGGTCTTCTTCGGGCCCTTCGCCGGCGACGAGTACGCCCACCCCTTCTCTTCCCTTCCTGCTACGCGAAACTGAGCATCCAAACCCTAGCTTAACCTATTTGTATTCGGATCTGATATAATTACAGGAGTATACATGTGTTATGCCTACTAATTCGATTATGTTTCAAAAAATTATCTGGTGTAGTGTATGTATACACCCATGTCCTTTACTGGGAAGCTCATTTGAAGATCTACCTTTTGCTGTAAATAAATCCTAAGGTGTAATGTATCTTGCCTGTTACCGGTCTGCCAGCCTATTTTTGTTCATCTTTGAAGTAATAGCTTGTTTTCTCCTATCCGATTTGCCTGTACAAGTCTGCTGCGCCATACTGCTGCCAATCAAACATATTAATCAGCATCAGGGAAACTAATTTTGATGTCGATAGCATTGACCATCAGCCATTGATGTTTCATAAAGTTCTTTTGCTGCTGCCGTGGCTCTGGCTGGCCCCTCCCTGTCCCTGGTGCTGGTGGCCATGCACACCCGGCTCCCTTTTTTCCTTTGTTCCCCCGGGCAATGCAAGCCTGGGCTGGGAGCGAGCGGTGTGTGCCTGGGCCTGGCTCAGAATCCACATCGTGTCGTGTCCAGCCTTCTGATACCTAGAAAGGAGCAAGGCTTTTGCATGCGCAGTCTGAAGATTCTGTTTCTGTTTCCATCTGCAGCTTACTAGTAGCTTCTTTAAGCATCTTCATTTAAACAGTGTTTGCTGGTACCACGTGAAGTAAACTTGACAAGCAGCTAGCAGTATGGAGTAATACGCTAGTAGTCCCAGCTAGAGAATAATGCAGTAATAATATATGAACACGCATGGCAATGATTTATTACTGTACGTATGTACTACTAGTATAGTCAATGGCTGGCTGTTATACATTCTCAACCTGCCATTTCCAAATACAGTATATACTGTAATAGTGGCATTGCTGCTGTGTAGGAGTAGGAGTATCTTAAACGAGTACAGGCAGAGTGCAGCTTACTCTTCCTACAAAATTTTGACGTTGACGTACTATTATGAGACAATGTCATCTTTCTATTACGAGACAATGTCATCTTTCAGAGAGCCGTTTGTATCTCCTCAAAAACCATTCTCTCCATGACCATCACCATTGTGTTCAGAAATTCTTTAAAAGATGAACTCTCGTACAGTACACTACTGCCCTAAAAAAGGGAGGACATGCATGGTACCCCCGTAAATAGTAGGCATTGTATAGCCGGCAGCGAGCAGCACCTATGCATGCACGCGGCAATATTGGAGCGGAAAGGCGAGCCTATACCGGCGGCAATTTTTAATGTCGATAGCATTGGCCTGCAGGTTCCTTTCGCTTCACTCCTTTAGTCATTTCTGAATGAACTTTCCACCCCTTGCAGTTTTTCTCCATCTCTTTATTTTACTAGCTAGTAGTAGTACTGCATGGATGTTTCTTTCTTTTTAGTCTTTGATTTTTCTCTCATCATCACCCCTTGCAGTTTTTTTGTGGTCTACTATTAACCTATTACAGTACATGCAATTTATACATGTTCGGCAATTTTAGGCGGTTATATATATGAAGAAAATATTTTACAACAAATTAAAGAGTTGCATGAATTCGCTACTGTGTTGGCACCTTTTTCAAGGGTTTTTCTAAACACTTATTGCTTGAATCTTACAACCACATATGAACTTGCAGGTTTTTGCCGCCGCTCCCTGCCCCGCCCTGCCGCCTGGTTCCGCCTTGCCTTCGCCTCGTCACTTTGCAGGACAGCAAGGTAAGGCATAAAAGACCCTTCTTTCCGTATCATGTTCGTATATCACGTAACCTAGCTAGATGTCTCCCATTCAAAAGAGATACGGTTAGAAATATGCAGATCTTTGCATATCTATAACCGTATCTGTTTCGAATTGTCCACGTTTTTTGAACAGCCCGAGGATGTGTAGATGCGGTTAGTTTCCATGCTCTACTACGATCCGTGATAGAGTTTCGGCAGCATCTCCCTGTTGTTCTCCGGATACACAATATCCCTTCCAAGACGTGTATTTGGAGAACAGCAGGGAGGTGCTGCCGAAATTCTATTTCGGATAGGAGTAGAGATGGAAACTAACCCCATCTATACATCCTCGGGTGGGATTATGACCTATCTTCACCTATTAGATAGTATAGAAACGTATAGATGCAACATGAT